CTCTCTCTCTCTCTCTCTCTCTCTCTCTCTCTCTCTCTCTCTCTCTCTCTCTCTCAATCCAGAGCCTCACCCTAGAAGCCAAACAGGTGCAAACCGAACCGGATCCACCCACTTCACGTGCCTGTCCCTAGCACAGACTTTACCACTTCTAGGGCCCAAAGACCTGCCCAGGTAGGGCAAACACCTCTCTCTCTCTCTCTCCAGCTGCCAGATCCCAGCCAATTTTTTTTCTTGCACTTCCTGGTCCACCTGGCCAAACCTGTCAGTGAGGTTAACACAGGTAGAGCTAGGAAGACTGCAAGGAGCTGGTGCTGCACACCTGAGGCAGGTAAGGGCTGCTGGATCTATTCTCCTTGAGCTGGCCAGGAGGGTGTGTGTGGGGGGGGGTACCAGGGAGGAGAGGGGCTTGTAAGGTTCACTGGTGGGTCCTTCCCCCCATTTCTGGGGTTGCTGGGACCCAACACATCGATCCAAGCCAGGATAGAAGCCTCAGGAACAGCATAACTGGCCACGCTAATGCTGGTTTGGTGGAATTGTTTTGTTTTGATAGCTTAGAGCAGGGTTTTTTTTGGCAACTTGAGGATGGTGGACTTCAACTCCAGAATTCCCTAGCCAGCCATGACATTACTGTGGCTTGGCTGGTGAGGAATTCTGGGAGCTGAAGTCCCCCCATCTTCAAATTGCCAAGCTTGGCTGGCTGAGGAATCCTGGGAGTTGAAGTCCGCCCCTCTTCAAGCTGCCAAGCTTTGCTGGTGACAAAATTAGTGGATCAGAGGAATGCTGTGGATATAGTTTACCTGGATTTCAGTAAGGCATTTGATAAAGTAGATCACAACCTACTACTTAATAAGATAGAAACATGTGGGGTAGACAGCATCACCACCAGATGGATCCATAGCTGGCTGGAATACTAACACACTTGGAATACGGCATCCAGTTTTGGTCACCACGATGTAAAAAAGATGTGGAGACTCTAGAAAGAGAGCAGAGAAGAGCAACAAAGATGATCAGGGGACTGGAGGCTAAAACATATAAGGAACGGTGGCTGGAATTGGGTCTGTCTAGTTTAATGAAGAGAAGGACGAGGGGGGACATGATAGCAGCCTTCCAGTATCTCAGGGGCTGCCCCAAAGAAGAGGGAGTCAAGCTCTTCTCCAAAGCGCCTGAAGGCGGGACAAGAAGCAACGGATGGAAACTAACCAAGGAGAGAAGCCACCTAGAACTAAGGAGAAACTTCCTGACAGTTAGAACAATTAACCAGTGGAACTACCTGCCTCCAGAAGCGGTGAATGCTCCAACACTGGAAGTTTTTAAGAAGAGACTGGACAGCCCTTTGTCCGAAATGGTATAGGGTTTCCTGCCTGAGCAGGGGGTTGGACTAGATGACCTCCAGGGTCCCTTCCAACTTTATTATTATTATTATTATTATTATTATTATTATTATTATTATTATTATTATTATTATTATTATTATTATTATTACTACTACTACTACTACTACTACTATTACTATTACTATTACTATTACTATTACTATTATTATTATTATTATTATTATTATTATTATTATTATTATTATTCTGGGAGTTGAAGTCCACCCATCTCAAGTTGCCACGGTTTAGAAACATGGCTTAGCCTTAGTGTGTTGTGTGTGGCCAATTCTTTGGGAGCACTTTGGATCATTTGAGACTGCAAACCCAGGAAATCATTCCTTCAGACCCAAGCGACGTGAGAAGGCGGTTGTTGGCTAACACACCCGCAACCCTGTTTTTCTAGTATCTTGGGAATCCAAGCTGAGTGGCTAGTTTACGGTCTGGCTGGTCTGTTCACAGGACATTCTTAACCAGGTTTGTGCTGGATATTCAGCAGAGCAAATCTTTTACAGAGACGGTGGTGCAGTGTGTCTCAATGTTTATTTCAATGTTCGGAAATAAACGTTCAAAAATAAACCCTTTTTGAGAATTGTCCAGGTCCGTAAATCAATTAAAAACTCAGCCAAATGAAGCCAAACCAGACAGAAAAATAATATTATGGAAAAACTCTCAGATTGAGATGCTGCCATCTTAGCCAGCTGGTGAAATAAAGACCATCAGATGTTGTCACAGTAGGCTGAGTTTAGTTAATATTAACCTTGCCACGGAAGATAGCAGGTGGGAAACTCTACACTGCAGTGGCCCTGTTCACACAACATGCAAGAAGAGACTGGACAGCCATTTGTCCGAAATGGTATAGGGTTTCCTGCCTGAGCAGGGGGTTGGACTAGATGACCTCCAAGGTCCCTTCCAACTTTACTATTATTATTATTATTATTATTATTATTATTATTATTATTATTATTATTATTATTATTAAGTCTAACCTGTTCAGCTAGCTAACTAGCTTCCAGTTAATCTTGGTTAGCTTCTTTGTTCTTTTAAGTGCCTCACAAATCTTACGGCATGCCCAGAACCTAGGTCAATTAAACCCAGGTCAAGCGGTTGTGTGGATCTAGTCTCTGTGAAAGGTTTGCCTGTTGTAGTCCTCGACTTACAATAGTAGTTCATTTAGTGACTGTTCGAAGTTACAACGGCGCTGGGGGGAAAAGGGACTTACGACCGTTTTTCACACTTACGACCGTCGCAGCGTCCCCGTGGTCAGGTGATCAAAATTCAGACGCTTGCCAGTTGACTCGTATTTATGACGGTCGCAGCGTCCCGGGATCACGGGATCCCCTTTTGCAACCTTCTGACAAGCAAAGTCAATGGGGAAGACGGATCCACTTAACAACGGCACGATCTGCTTAGCGACCGCAGTCATTCACTTAACAACCGTTGCAAGTAAGGTCGTACAAAGGGGGCCAACTGTCTTGTTTAGCAATGGAAATTTTGGGCTCAGTTGCGGTCGTAAGTCGAGGACTTAAGTTGAATTCCCGAATCCTGAGGCAGGCGGTCCAGGATTGGAAGCCAAAATGCCCAGAAGAAGCCCCAGGGATTGATGCGGGTCCCCAGAGATGTGACTTGATCCCTTGCAGACAGCCGTGCTGGGCTCACTGTCTGATCTCACTGATCTCAGAAGATCAGCCGCTCTGTCTGTGGCTACCCTCTAAAAGGAATTTTTCCTAAAGGAGGAAAAAAATGGTGGTGAAGAAGGAGAACGAGAAGGAGAGGGAGATCTAGAAGATGGGGGGGGGGGAAGGAGCAAGGGAGGTGGAGGAGGAAGAGGAGGAGAAATGAGGGAGGGGGATAGAAAAAGGGAGAAGGAGGAGAGGAGGACGAGATCTCGTAAAGACACCCTCGTTGCGTTGCACGCTTGGCGTACTTCGTTAGGGAAGTGACCCATATTCTGACTTGGCTGAACTTTTCTTTCTTTCTTTCTTTCTTTCTTTCTTTCTTTCTTTCTTTCTTTCTTTCTTTCCTTCCTTCCTTCCTTCCTTCCTTTTTCTTTCTTTCTTTCTTTCTTTCTTTTTCTTTTCTTTCTTTCTTTCTTTCTTTCTTTCCTCCCTCCCTCCCTCCCTCGCTCTGTCTTCCTTCCTTCCTTCCTTCCTTCCTTCCTTCCTTCCTTCCTTCCTTCCTTC